TATGGAAATGTAGTTGGATTTTTAAAAGAAATTGTAGGATATTATTTGAATTAATGTCATGATAGTGTTTTTTCATGTTGGTATGTCAATCTCTTTGAGTTAGTTAATGTCAAAATCTATTATTTTGAACACAATTTTATGGCTTCAACTAAATATATTTTGAACGCAATTGTATGCCTTCAACTACAGAAAAATGTATTGCTGGTCAATATGTTATAAAATTGTTGGTAATTCTAGTACACATATGTATAATCTTTTAATATAAGATGTATTACTTGTATTTTTACTATAAATATGTATTTTTGTACTTTCATGGTGTTTTTTTTTTGTTTTTTGTTTTTTGTCTTTGTTTTTTTGTAGATTGACTATTTACCCATAGCTGAAACCATAACAGGTGCTACCACCCTAGGTCAGGGTGAATCTGGGAACAACAACAAGTAAGAGGTGATTTCCACACTCCTCAAAACCTCGAATCACACGATCAGAAGCCTTACTGCCGGATGTAATTTATCGTCATACCCAGGACTAAAGTTGATAGGAGAGAGAAATGAATTGTTCAAGATCGATGATTGATGAAAAATATTAACAGCAAAAGCTTTATTCCTTCTGTTGGTGGGGCAATGATAACTTACATTTGCATGTATTTGTCGTTAGAATAATAATAGGTTCATTTTGATTTTATCCTGGTGTATATTAGATTAGGATATAAGGACATGTGTAACAGATATCAAACTCCTCTAATATATATATATATATATATATATATATATATATATATATATATATATATATATATATATATATATATATATTTTACCTCGGAGTTCTTGACAAGATCCAGAGACGGATATGTAATATAATTGACCCTGATCTGGCATTTCGTCTACAGTCACTCTCTCACAGACGCGCCGTCGCCTATCTCTGTCTTTTCTACAAATACTTTCATGGTAATTGCTCCGATGAGCTGCTTTCACTGGTTCCCAGACTCCGTGAATTCAAGCGCCCTATGAGGCTGGCATCCTGCTCCCAAACTTACACTGTAGAAACTTTTAAATGTAGCCGTCTCTTCTACTCCAATAGCTTCACACCTCGCACCTCTCACCTGTGGAACACCCTTCCCAATTACTGTTTCCTGAGAGCTATAATCTCCAACTATTCAAATGTAATGTCAATCGACATCTCCAGTTACCTTGATCTATCCACTATCCTTCTCCTCATCCTTTCTTCTATCACTCCTATCTGCTCTTGTTCCAAATCTTCTGCAACCCCCTGCATCCTAGTGGCTTCACGCCTTGCTCGGGACGTAATATATAATATATATATATATATATATATATATATATATATATATATATATAAGAAAGAACAGCAAGATATATAATCCAGTGTTCGTATAGATATTTCTATTTTTAAAAAAATAGGGCTCATTTTAAATTAACAGAGAATAATTTTATAAATTAATTGATTTAAAATATGTTTTTTTTCGCTACACAGTTTCTAAAATGTTTCAAAAATGGAAGCTAAAAGCCCCGAATTTAATTTTGTGATTAAATTAAAGACATTAGTTCCATTTCATCCTCAAGCGAATTTTGGAGTAACTTTTTAAAATTATTGGGTTTTAAATACACAGCTAAAACACAATTCATGTTTCCAAGGTTACAGATCAATCTATTTTTCTAGACAGGGCTTTTAGCTTCCATTTTTGAAACATGGTTAAAACTGTGTAGCGAAAAAGAACCATATTTTAAATCAATTAATTTATAATATATATATATATATATATATATATATATATATATATATATATATATATATATAGCGGACAGACACTCTCTTGAGTCTGGCGATTTGATTTAATTTGATTTTTGGTCTCCACTTATCATCAGCGATCCCAATGCATTTTCCCTCAGATTCAGTTTCATATTTCTTTCATTCTCAACAGAAGAAGCCAGAGAGAGAAAGAGAGAGAGGGAGAGCGAGAGAGAGAGAGAGAGAGAAAAAAAGAAACGAGAGAAAGAGAGAAAGAAAGAATGAAGAAGAGAGCGGTAAAACGAGAGAGAAAGAGGGAGAAAGAACGTGTGAGAGAAAGAAAGATAGAGCGAGAACGAGAGAAAGAAAGAAGGAGAAAGAAAGAACAAGAAAGCGAAAGAGAGGGAGAGACAAAGAAAGAACGGGAAAGAGAAAAAAGAGAGAAAGAAAGAGAGAGAGAGAAACAGAGGTAAAGAACGAGAGAGAAAGGAGAGAGAGAAAGAAAGAGAGAGAGAAAGAAGGATAGAGAGAGAAAGAGAGAGATAAAGAAGGAGAGAGAGAAAGAAAGGAGAGAGAGACAGAGAGAGAAAGAGAGACAGAAAGAACGAGAGAGCGAAAGAGAGTGAGAGAAAAGGAACGAGAGAGAGAGAGAGAGAGAGAGAAAGAGAGAGAGAAAGAGAGCAGATTCTCTCGGCGTTACGTTTCGTTTATAGATTTCACCTTTTGTCTCATCATTTTCATATTGGGCCATAAATAAGTTCCGTTTTCGTTCATCCAACATCCGCTTTCTTCTTTTCACTAAAAGACCATGGAACCCAAACATTCAAACTACTGACGTTCACCATTTTTTCGAAGTGTTGGCAAATGACAACTTGTGGTGCCTTTTCTAAATCCCGAATAATCTGTTGTTGATTGCTTTCCACTAATGAATTTAGAGCTTCGTCACTAACGACCGACAATCCCCTACAGCCTGGGTTCATCTTCCAGTGACGTTTCGACAGAAAGACCATGCCAACTAATTTGCTGCTCAGTTATGACACATTGACCATAAACACAGCATATTTTTTTAGATGCCTACATAGTGTTTTCCTCTACATTGAACTCCCAAAACCTTCTCCTTTTGTAATGTATCCCTTCAGAGATCTTCTTCACGTTCTCGGCTTCTAAAATAGTTATTAAACGCAGTGGTGGTAAAAAAAAAAAAAAAAAAAAAAGATGTCGAGTGTGTACACGGGTAAAAATTTCTCTATCTTTTAAATAACCTTATTTGGACAAACAGAGACAAGAAAACGGCTGCTATGTCCATTGGCAACCTTGACAGAGAGATTTAAAAGAATTTTCCTTGCGTACGCACATACACGTTAAATGTTAACATACACATGTAAATGTAAACGTAAGTACATCAATAAGTCCCTAGACTGTGGCGTGTTCATTCGGGATGTTGGTGACCATAGCTTTCCACAATTCCCTGTCTTTTGTAAATTCTATTTTCTATTATTTCTCCTAATTCCTATTCTGCCAACCATTTGCACAGACTCGTTAAGCAGGTTTTGTGCTCTTTGCAATATCTCCCGTGAGTGTCAAATTTTCTAAGTTCTTCTTCCGAGGTGCCCTAGAAATTTCAATTGTCTCTTGAAGTTAAGTATTCATGATCCCATGAAATTATGTTTCGTAAATGCACTTTCGATCGCTCTATTAGTGGGTTTAAGAAATGTATTTTTTAATCAACTGTTTATACTGCCATTGCCACAAACACACACACAGAACAAAAAAAAAAGAAAAAAAATTATGGTTACGTGTACACTAAATTTATGATTCGACATGGGCACCAGATTTCACTAGCATCTTCTTGAGCAACCCAGGAACTCTTGCGGTATGGAAGACATAACTTCTTCTATTCATCCTTCAAGTTTTCCAAAAGTCTTGATTTGGCATAATAGACTTGCTTTGTTAACCAACCTCAAAGAAAAAAGTCACATGGTGTTAAATCAGAACATTTGTCTGGCCACTCATACATAAAATAGGGAGTTACTTTTCAATCACACTATATATATATAAAAGACATTTTTATGTTTAACGTTCTTTTTTTTTTATAGATACAAGTATTTAAGTAAATGCTCTGTTTATAATAAACAGTATTAAATAACATTTACCTGCCTGAATGTCCGAGAAATTTTCATAGAAAATATTCGTCCTTTGACAGGATTCGAACCTGCATCCTATACGGAACAGTCATTTACGCTGACGTGCCTTAACCGACTCGGCCACAAAGGAGCGTTCGGTAGGCAAGGTCGAATTTACTGCTTGCTGCTCAGTTATGACACATTGAGCATAAACACAGCATATTTTTTAGATGCCTACATAGTGTTTTCTTCTACATTGAACTCCCACAACCTTCTCCTTTTGTACACTAAATTTATTCTTAAATTCCATGTATGATTGGTAGTTAGGTTGATACATTGAGCATGATATTTCGTTCCCCATAGCTGAAATAACTTTTGACTCAACTTAAGACATATTTATCTTCATTTAACTGACAAGAAACAGAATTTTTACACTTTTAAAAGATACGGGGAGTGCGTTCAAATAGTATCCGATTTTTTTCTTCTCAAAACCTATGCCCTCATCGGGCAAATTTTCTTGTGGGAAAGGTAACACCGCTCTTCCTGCGTATGCGTGAAAATTTTCCCGTTAGTTGGCGGCGTCAGTTCTCGGTTGTTACACCTAGAGTACAGATGTGGAGTGCGCGTTCGTTGGATTTTCGTTTTCACGCGAGATGAACGAACGCATCAAACAGAGATATTGCATCAAGTATTTCCAAAACATTGGTGATACTCAAACTCAAACCATCCAGAACATTCAGCAGGCCTTTGTCGATAATGCCATGGGCGAAACTCTGATCAAGGAGTGGTACAACTGCTTTAAACATGGCCGAACCTCAGTAGGAGCGAGGCACGCTCAGAAAGACCCTCCACAAGCCGAAATGAGAAGGTCTGGCGAATAGTCATGGAAGACCGTCGTGTAACAGTCCAGTATATTTCTCACGAAATGAGAATAAGTATAAGATAAGTGCATTCCATTTTAACTGAGGATTTATGCATGCGAAGACTGTCGGCGAAATTCGTCAGCTCATTCAAACTCACATAATCCAAGGTTTCCTGGTCAAGAACAACGCACTACTTGTTCGACAAGTTCCCTACTCTCCTGAATTGGAACCTTGTGACTGCTAGGCCTTCGCCAATCTTAAAACCGCGCTGAAAGGGAAGCGATATACGTCGCAAGAGAAAATTATGAGAAAAGTTACTTGATCCAAAGAGTTCTGATTTCATACCTAGCCATATCAGAGGGAACAAAGACTTGTAGAATTGAGATACTAAAAAGAATTAACTGAAACTGAGATATAGAAAAGGGCATGGCACGTGGAATTAGAACAATTTAAACCCATGGACTAAAAAAAGGGTTTGTTTCGAAATTCCAACATATATCACTCGAAGAAGGCCGGAACGTACAACTTCGGAAACGTTGTGAATAATGATAAGAACAACAGTCCGAATAATGTAAATAGTATATATATATATATATATATATATATATATATATATATATATATATATATATATATTAAAATAATAAGAAAAATAATATTTATAATCCGATGTTCTTAGCAATTATGTTTATTTTAAAAAGACAGTGCTCGATACAAACATTAGAACATAATATTATATTTAAAAAAATAATATATAATTATATTTTTACAAAAGAAAATAATTATAATATATATATATATATATATATATATATATATATATATATATATATATATATATGATTAAAAATACAATTTCGAACATTTTAACCGCCTGCAAATATTTAAATGTGGTCAGCATCTTAACAGTCCACATGTCTTAACATGTTATATATTTCAAATTTGAATTTTGCTGTCTACGACTCGCGTTTGTTTTATAGAATATAAATATATCTGGTAATAATTCAACAGATTTATCAGGCCGACTGTCCGTGATGAGCAGTGTTACATGAAACATTGGTGGTAGCCAATGAGTTAAGAATTATGATGTCATTTAAATCTAATTTTTAAAAAATGAAATTATTCTTCTCTGTTCAACATAGTTTCTCTTTCTCTCGGTACATATAAACAAGTCCATTATTGAATTAAACAAATCGAATAACTTTATAATATTATTTTATCACCAAAACTTAAAAAGATAAATATTTCATAAATTTAAATTTGGCTTTGTTAGAATATCAAATTATTCTATCAAAATGCCAACAACGTTTATTTCCATTTACACTGCACATTTCCTTTACTGCCAAGCTGTGATTTAAATGCTAGGGTGATTACAACTTTGAAGTCAGAAAAATGTTTACCTGAAATAACTAAGCAAACGAAAGCTATTGTTCATTTATAATTTAATTGTCTACGTTGAGAACTGATTTTTAATGCCGTATGATTAAATTAGTTATAGGTTAGCTAAGATGTAATATGCTTTTGGCGTTTCGTGCGAATACACACACGTACGCACACGATGATCATTATATATTAGATGTCTCATCAGCTAAGATAATACGTAGATTAAGAGGACACTTCCGTATTTTCTACAACACTTGGGATACCGTTTTAACTTGTTGACAGGAACATATATCAGTTTGGCGAAATTCAAGAAAAGAAGGCCTACGGGAATTATTTTTACACGGAGCACTTCGGCAGATGCAGAAACATGTCAGCCAACTTACACATACATCATTGGACCGGCTGCACATAGTGAGAGCGATGTGCAAGCCCAGATCAGCATTCTCTGATAGCAAATATATACGCTGTCAGCAATGCAAAACATAACATCGCTTTACCCACACACACAAATATATATATATATATATATATATATATATATACATATATATATATGAAGTGGCGTTATGCTTTGTATTATATATATATATATATATATATATATATATATATATATATATATATATATATATATATATATATATATATATTAGTACCTGAATACATACACACATATGTACTGAAAAGAATGAATAATTGTTCTCACCTATCTCGCGATAGCAATGACAGTTTGGAATAGTCTCGTGGGCGTTAGCTGAGTTTCTTGCCCCAGCTCTAAACAATATGTCAAGTAATCTGCGTTTGAGAAAGCAGTGAATTTCGATAGGCGGGGTATCCCTATCCGCAGGGCCTGCCAAATCTTTCATTGTGCTAAATAGTTATTTTCATTTCATTCATTAATTTCGTTCCGCTCTCATCATCGAGCCATTCCGTTTCCTTTCCCGATTTTGCAGAGCCCCGATCGCTGTACTGGGATCAAGGTAACAATTGCGATTGTCATAAATATTGGTAAAACTTCCTAATTTTTGGCTCTTTCAATTCCAGTCTATTTTTGAATTGATTGTGTTTCTTTCAAATCCCAGATGTGTAATCGAAAATCTCGCAACAATTTACCCCGATAGGTTTTTCTTCATTGAAAGATATAAAAATAATCTCGATACTTTATCTATGTGATATGTAAGCAAAAGATAATATCTACACCGAAAACAATTTTCTTGTCTTATATAAAAAGGGAAACGGGAGTAAGAAAAAGAAAAGCAAAAGAAGAAAAGTTATAATTGTTATATTGAAATATCTGATATTCTAGCTATCTGGGTATCGTGAATTTTGCAAACATAAAAAAATGTACTCGTTGCAATTTAAAGCGCACGATGGAGATAGGA